AACACCCAAGAATAGCCGAGATAAGTAACAGGAAGATTACTCCATGGCTTTGAGGACAGCCGCACATGCTAGGGAAAAAGGCAGCTCAGATAGAGAAGGAGTACCAAATAAAGGGTGTTGGGAGCTTCCTCTCAGGATGGGAAATGCATGATGAGAGTAGACTATAGACCGAACAGAATTGCCACTCAATGTCTCTTTTGCAAACCACTGCACTCAAAAGGAGAGAGATAACAAAAGGGAATGCCCTGCCACAGAGGTAGGGTGGGATGGGGGGTTGGGGGGTGAGAGGGATACAGGGACTGGTGGTGGTGGAGAATGGGCACTGGTGGAGGAATGGGTACTCGATCATTGTATAACTGAAACCCAAGCACAAAAATTTGTAAGTCTACAACTGTACCTCATGGTGTTTCACTAATAAAAATTTAAGAAAAAAAAACGTTTTTAATTTAAGGAACTGTGAGGGGTCAAGTTTTCATTAAGGGACTAGAGAGATTTACAGCGTTTCATCTTGCCTTGCATGTGGCTGACCTGGGTTGGATCTCAGGTACCTCAGGTATCACATACTATCCCCTGAGCACCACCAGGAATTGACCCCTAAACACAGCTAGGTGTGACCCAAACCGCCCACAGTTTTTTTATTAAATATGAAACATTTAATTTTCTTGGGAGTCTTTGGTGGTGGGTGTGACCCGTGTAATCCCATCAGCGGCCAAGACTCAGAGACTATAAAATCCAGATCCCGGAACCGCATTCCATTCGCAGCCGCGCGACATCTTATTATCTCATTCCTACTTTGGACAAACTTGCAGGCTATCGAATGTAGCCTGCCCACAGGGCAGAGTCTGGCAAACTCCCCGTGGCCTACCAAATATGCCAAATACCAGTAACAATGATGGGTCTCATTCTCCTAAAGAGCCGTGAATATAATCTCAGGGCTAGGATGAAAGAGACGTTACTGGGGCCTGCTCGAGGCAATCGACGATTAACAGGGAGTCTTTGGTAAATTTGATTAGAATGATAAATTATATCTTCAACGTAAACCATGAAATATTGCATCTCATCCTTTGCTTTAGTGCTATTTCTTCAATATAGAGAATAACAAGAGGAAATAGGAATGCGTGGTCTCAAAGGGGAGATGCCCAGACTGTCCTTGACCCTTGAACATAGAAATGAGAAGAACAGGGAAGGAAAGAAACCAAGGTGGGTAAGAAGGAGAGAGGGATGGAGGCATCAGGGGTAAGGTCCAGGGGCATTGAGTGCAGTGGGGAGAAGAGTTATATGCATTTATAAAGAGCCAAAAATGCTGTATGTCCGAACTGTAAGTCAAAATTCAAATTACAACAACCAAATTTTAAAATGTGCCTGTCAAAGACTGGGGAGTGGTGTGGGAGGGAACCTGGGGAAGTTGATGGTGAGATTGGAACTGGAACATTGTATTCCTGAAACAAAGCTAAGAATAACATATCAATCATGGTGCCTTAATGCTTAATTTTTTTAATAGCTCTTCTTAAATTGTCTGATGAAGACAAGGCACCTTTGTCTTTTTTTTCTTTAAATATTTTAGATGGGGGGTTTGGGGCCACGTGACAATCTGTTGTGGACTAAGACATTTGGAAAACATAACAAATTTCTGGAAAATGAGACCTACCCGGGGGACAGAGAGATAACAGAGAGGGTAAGGCACTTGCCTTGCACTGAGCCAAACCAGTTTTAATCCCTGGCACCCCATATGGTCCCCGAAGCCCATCAGAAGTGATCCCTAAGCACAACTGGGTGTGGCCCTCAAAAAAAGTCTAAAAAATTGATAGTTCAAAAGAAGTAAAAGAAAGGAAACGGGGGAAAAAGAAGACCTACAAAACACGGCCCGAATTTTAACTTATTTTCATGGGGGAAGAGAATGGATTTGTCCACACCCAGAAGTACTGTGTACTTCCTTCTGGATCTGCAATCAGGGATCACCCTGGCAGGGCTTGGGAGGGTCCAATTTTAAATCTTAGCCTCAAGACATAAAATTAATCAAATGCAGAATATAAGACGTTCTGCAGAATAATGTAATTTTTAAATTAAGGAATTTTTAAATTATCGTTTCAGTAACATAAATTTTTGTCTGTTTTGGGGCCATACCTGGCAGTGCTCAGGGATTACTCCTGACACTGCACTCAGGAATTACTCCTGGTGATACCTGATGAACCACATGGAATGTTTAGGTTCAAACCTAGGTCAGCACCGTGCAAGGTAAGTGTCCTACATGCTGTACTATCTCTCCAGACCCTAACAGATCTATTCAAGTTTCCAGGAACCAAAGAGATATTACAACAGTTAAGTTGCTGGCCTTGTAGGCAACTGACCAGAGTTCAATCCCCCCGGACTCCATATTGTCCTCTGAGCTCCAACAGGAGTGACTCTTGAGAGCAGAGCCAGGGGTCACTGCTGATTTGTGTGTTCCCAAAAAACACAAACAGCCAATTTCCACATTCAATCCATAATCATTTGATGCTATATGTACTACACATGAAAAATATTTTTGCCCCAAATTTCATAAACTAGACTTTTATTCTAGCACTTAGGATGCAGCATGAGGCAAGTTGCACAGTACAATTTTTGGGAAATATCCCAAGGTACAGGAACCTGTGTGTCAGCCCAGCAGTGTTCTGGGGACACCAGAGCCACAACTGACAGTGTTCTGGAAAAGACAGGGAACTTGGGTTCGATCTCTGACCCCAGAACTACCTCCTTGGACTCCACAATATTATCTTTAGCACTTCTCAGTGTAGTCCAAAATAAAAACAAAATAAGTCCCTTTATGAATATGGAGCTAAGAGATTGCACAGCACTTTCCTTGAACACAGCTGACCTGTGTTCTATCCCTGGAATCCCAGGTGGTCCCCCAAGGAATGATTCATGAGCAGAGCCAGGAGTAGCCTCTTAGCAACCAAAGGACAACAAATTTGATTCAATTTGTAATTTTCTAATTCATCAGTCTTAAGGGTTAAACTCATTCATTTTAAATTTAACAAGTGTGTTAAATAATGCATCATTTAAGAAAACATGATAAGGGGATGAACTGATAGTACAAGTAGGGCATTTGCCTTCCACACAGCTGACCAGGGTTCAATCTCCAGCACCCCATTGAGTCCCCTAAGCCCGTCAAGAGTGATCCCTAAGCTCAGAGCCAGAAGTAAGTACTGAGCACTGCCGGGTGTAGTCCCAAAACTAAATAAAACCAAAAAAAAAGGACACGATGAGTCTAAGGAGGAAGTACAAAGGGTAGAATGGCTTGCCTTCCATGCACTAACATATTTTAGATCCCAGGCACCTCTATGGTAAACAGAACACAATAGTGTGTAAGCCCCTGCCTCCATCCCCACAAGAAAGATCTGTTAGCAAAAGACAAGGGAATACTGATAAACTAATCATTAAAAAAAAGGGAGGAAGGACGAGAAGAGATAGTACAGTGGATAGGGCACTTGCCTTGTGCGTGGCTAACTCAGGTTTGCTGCCTGGCATCCTATATGGTCCTCCAAGCACCAGGAATAAACCCTGAGCATCGACAGATGTGGTGCAAAAACCAAAAACAAAATAAAATAGAAAAAATTCTAAACTACACATCTTAAAAAATTAAACAATTGTAAACAAGTTACTGTAACTTTCCAGAAATCTTCTTAGTCAAGTGTCTATTATACATGTATAAACACTAGTTTTTGCATTACAATACATGTAAACATAAATATTTCCAAGAATTTTGAAGTTTAGTAATACCTTTACCCATCAATATTATTTCTTAAACATATTTTGTATTTAAATCTTTTTGTAACTTAACTTTTTTTTTTTTCAATTTTTTGGTTTGGTCTTTGAGTCACACCTGCCAATGCTCAGGGCTTACTCCTGGCTCTGCAATCAGTAATTGATCACTCAGGGTGATCACACAGGGCGATCGAACCCGTGCCGGTGGTGTGCAAACTTTCTATTCGCAGTATTATCGCTCCGACCCCATGTAACTTAATTTTTTAATGATTGCAAGGGACCAGAGAGATAGTACAGCGGTAAGACATTTTGCCTTGCAAACAGCTCACCCAGTGCGATCCAGCCACTGCATCTAATCTCCGAACCCTGCCAGGAGAGATCCATGGGCACAGTGCCAGGAGTAATACTGAGCACCGCTAGGTATGGCCCAAACCATGGCAACCCTCTACACCCTGGGGGCTCACAACCTTGGGACTCTTGACTCCACCTCCCTCAGATTCTTCTCCAACTCCCCCAATCCTGCGTACGTCCAGTCTGTCACGTCCCATTCTGAGGCGAACGACTACGTTTCCCAGGTGTCTCCAGGGCGGGTCCAGCCCTCAGAAGGCGTCCCCGTGGCCCCGAGAGGTTTGTTCCGAGAGGCCAGATCGAGCTCCCGAGCGTTACTAGGTTTCTGAGTGCGGATGGCGCCTGTCGGCGGCACCTGAGACAAGCATGTGAATTCTGAGTGGGAATCTGGGATTAATACAGCTCAACCGGGAATGTGAGGCGCCAGGAGCTGAGTCGCCCCGGAGTCTGGGAGGAGGCGTCTCCGTTGGTGGCGCGGCGGGGGCTCGTCATCTCCTGAGCCCGCGCTGCGCCCAGGAGAACTGCGGGCTGACTGGCTTCCCGACTTTTCATGACTTCTCACTGGCTCTGGGCTTGGGGCGAAGACCGTCGCCGCGGGATAAACTTTGGTCTCTTCGGGGTTTCCTTGACCCACCCTGGGACTACGTTTCCCAGAAGCCCCCGCGGCTGCCGAATCGCCCCCCCCCCCGCCCCCTCCGCGACCACCTGTTGCTGTCACTCCCGGCCGATCCTCTCGGTCCTCGGAGGACTCTCGCGGCTGGGCGTTCTGGACCGAACTTGACTGAAGGCGAGAAACTCCACGCGTTTCCGGGAGGGAAAGACGGTCGCGGACCCGGGGGGGAAGGGGTTTAGCAGCGTTTCCCGCCTCTCCCGGACTCCAAGCCCCCTCACCCCCGCCCCCAGGACTCTGCCACTTCCGGCCGAAGTTGACCGCCCTGTGGTGAGTTGGCGGGAGTTGCTGGACTTTGAGGGACGGGATGTGCCGGGTGGGCTGACTCCCTGCCGGGAGCGGAATCGATCCGGCTCGAGAGCCCCCGGGCAGTGCGGGGGGTGGGGGCTCTGTCCCGCGCGCCCCGGGCTGCGTGCCGGCGCCTGGCCGGGTGAGGATGTTATGGGGGCTGGGGCGGATCGCTCAGTCCTCCCTGGGTTTCGGAGGTCGTGGCCGCGGGGGGTGTGGCTTCAGCGTGGGGGGCCTGGCGGGAAGCTTGGGGTCCGGTCTCTGGGGTCCGGAAGAGAGGTGGGCGCGCGCGGGCTATATCGGCCGGCGGTGCGGGCTGCGCTGAGGATCGCGGGGGTGCCCTGTCCACCGTTGGACTCCGCGCTCCCCTGGTCTGGCCGCCGACTACCTTTTCCGGGCTGGAGTTCTGAAGGACGCGCTCTTTGTTCTTTCTTAGTGGCCGCTGGCCAGGGTCTGCCTGTGCCTGGTGCGTTTTCCTCAGACCCCCAATTGCTGTGAGCGCTTGCAGCTCGCTCTGCGCTCGGAGTTCAGCCCCGTTAGATCTATCTCCAGCAATGAAAATCCGTTTCCGAGTTTCTGGTGGGAATCCAGGGTGGGACTGGCGGGGGGAGGGGAGGGGAGGGCTCCTCTTCCTTCCACAGGTCTGTGCCCTCATCCGTTGCCGCCTGGGGTCCCGGCGCAACGGAGGTGGCCCGGATTGGAGGATGAGTGTGGGACTTTGGGTGCATCCACTTGGGTTTTGGCTTGGAGCCACAGAGCTCCGCTTGGGCTCACTTAAAGACACTCGGCCATGAAGAACCCCAAGAATTTTTCTCTTAGAATAAGTCGCAGTCTGGGGGTATCTCTCAGTACTGCCGTCCTGAGCGGCCCCTGTTTCTGATGAGCAGAGGGTGGCCGTGTTGCAGGCTGCTCGAGCTTTAGTTTCTCCCTCCCGGTTTGGGGATTGTGGTGGCAGAGATTTGTTCTGAGTCTGTCTTGTCTCAGTCCCCGAGGCGCTCCAGTTCTTAACTCAGCACCTTTTTTCCTTAAGAGAATCCAGAAGAGGAAGAGGGAACCATCCCTGTGCAAACAGAAGTCATGGCAGAGGTAAGTTGCTATGGATTTGGGGCAAAAAAAAAAAAGAAAGAAAGAAAAAAGAAACCTTTCTTTTACCGTTTAACTTTTCTTATGGTCTTTTTGGGGGGGTGGGGTCCACACCCAGCAGTGCTCAGGGGTTACTCCTGGATCTGCACTAGGGATTACTCCTGGCAGTGCTGGGGGACCATATGTGATGCCAGGATGGAACCCGGCTAGGCCACCTGCAAGGCAAACGCCCTCCCCACCACTGCACTATCGCTCAGGACCCTTCTTATGGTCTTTTTCTTCTTATTTTCTCTCTCTCTCTCTCTCTCTCTCTATATATATATATATATATATATATTTTAGAAAATAGAAAACTTTATTGGAAAAGAAAGGAATCTCCCTGTCCAAGGAGGAATCTAGTATAGGACTAAGTTCTTTTGTTTTCCTTTGGGTTAGGTTTTTGTTTGGTTTGGTAGGTATCCATTATCAGATTACAAACATTGCTCTTTGTTTCTAGTTTATTCTGACTTGTTTCTTTTGGTTTGGTTTTGGGGCACCATCCCGTGGTGCTGAGGGCCACTCCATCTTGGGGATCAGAGATTGTTCCTGGAAATGGTTGGGGGGACACACTTGTGAAAGAGGTGGAACTCTGGACTTCCACAGGGCAAAGGATGTGCTTTGCAGTTAAGCTCTTTGGGCTCTCTTTCTGGCCCTGCTCTGATTTTTTTGGGGGGTTACTCCTGGCTCTACACTTAGGAATTACTCTTGAGGGTGCTCAGAGGATCATATGGGGTGCCTGGGATCAGAAACAGAACTCTCGAGTCTATCCCCTGCTGCCTGTAAAGTAAATGCCCTACTTGCTCTACTATTGCTCCTGCCTCTGCTCTGATCTTTTAATCATGAATAAGTATTGCAATTTTTTTTTCTTTTTGGGTCACACTCAGTGATGCTCAGGACTTGCTCCTGGCTCTGTACTCAGGAATTACTCCTGGCGGTACTTGGGGGACCATATGGGATGCTGGGAATTGAACACAGCCAGCCGCATGCAAGGCAAATGCCATTCCCACTGTACTATTGCTCTGTCCCCCAGTATTGCAATTTTCAAATGACTTTCCCCCGCCCCTTCTTTTCTTGTCATGCTGAATGGAGACTGCGCTTTATCCCTGACCCTGAAATACCTTTCCTACATCTCTTGATATGATCACAGTTTATTGGTCAGAGTTTGTTAATGCAGAATTTTTACATCTGTTTACATTTGTGGCAACAGATTATATGTATATGTAAAATTATATACATATACATTATAATACATATATACACATATACATGTACATTATATATGTATATTATAAAATTATATGTAAAATTGGTATATAATTTCTACATTTTAGGCAAGTTCTAGAATCAGTGTTATTTAATCCACAGGACACCACGCTGTGGCCCAAGTCAGTGAGCCAAGAATATTCTCTACGTTTTTATTTTATTTTATTTTGTCTTTTTTTCTTTTTGGGTCACACCCGGCGATGCTCGGGTTACTCCTGGCTTTGCACTCAGTAATTACTCCTGGCAGTGCTCAGGGGACCATATGGGATGCTGGGAATCAAACCCAGGTTGGCCGCGTGCAAGGCAGACACCCTACCCACTGTACTATTGCTCCAGCCCCTGTCTTTCTTTTTAGAGGGAGTGCCCAAACCCAGCAGCACTCAGTGCTTACTCCTGGTTCTGTGCTCAGGATTCTCTTTTGGCGGTACCCCAGGGTACCCTATATAGTGCTGGCGTTGAACCAGGGTCAGCATGCAAGTTAAGCCTCTACCCCTGTACTATCTCTCCACTCTTTAGTTTTGTTACTTAAATAATTCTCTGTTTAGGGGCCAGAGCAGTAGTATAGTAGGTGAGGAACTTGCCTTTCATGTAGCCGATAGGGGTTTTATCATTCCCGGCACCACATATGGTATCTCAAGCCTCACCAGGAGTGATCCCTGAGTGCAGAGCCAGGACTGAGCCCTGAGCATAGCTGGGTGTGGCCCCCAAACCAAGGGGGGGTTGGGGATGTATTTTTACTGATTTTGCCTGTTGAATCTATTATTTTAGGAGATGTTCAGGCAGTGAGGGTTTTCTTTTCTACTTCATGTGTATATGTGTACACAAGTTCTAACCGTTTACTTCGAGTTTTTCTGAGTATTTATGTTTTGGATATTTCTTATAAAAATTACATAGATAGTATCCTGTTTAAAAAAATGCCACGTTCATTAGTGTTTGGGGGAGAGGGATGCAGGGCTACTCCAGGCACTGCTAAAGGTTTAGACAGACAGTGCTTGAATTTAAATTTCACGGGCTTCACAACATGCTAGGAATGTACTCCACCTCTTGAATTACCTCCTTTGCCCTGGAATATTAAAAATTATTATATATTCCCACTCCCTTCCCTTCCTTCTGTTGATATTGTTGGTGTTACTGGAAGTTACACATACACACATATGCACACACACACACACACACACACACAGAGTGTGGTCCTTATACATTTGGTTCCAGTGCTCACCATGGGTCATACTGCCCAGTTCCAGGGGTTGCACATATACTTGGCAGGGGGTGCACATTTTAGTTGCTCTCACAGATGCTTACTGAGGATACCAAATCTGACAGGCCTGCATAATCTTTTTGCGGGGGGCACACCCAGCTGCAAGCCAGGATTACTCATGGCTCTGTGCTCAGGAATCACTCCTGGCAGGGCTTAGAGGACCATATGGGGTGCCAAGGATCATACCTTGGTCAGATGCATGCAAGGCAAGTGCCCTACCCACTGTACTATACCTTCAGATATTTTCATGGTTGTACTTACTGGGAGTTGCACCTTATTTTAGTTGTGGTACTTAAACATGCCTGGCTGTGTTATAACTAGAAATATCTTGCAGTGCCACCGGGATTTAATTCTCAATCTTATGCTGGCCAAAGCCTTTGCCATAGCCATGGGGTCATCTCCTGTCCTCTGGGATTTTTGTTTATGTTCTTGTTTTGATTTTGGCCACACTACTCCCAGCTCTGTGCTCTGGAGTCATTCCCAGCAGTGCTCAAGGGGGACCGTGGCTGGAACCCAAGGTTTTTGTATGCCAGCTTCGGTATCAAGTCCATTTATCTGTACTCATGGTGCTAGAGATCTGAACCAGGGTTGGCAGGATTTGTGAAAGGTAATTTTCTCATCACACTGAGTTATTTTTGCTGTCTTCTGGCTTACATTATTGCCTTTGAATCTTAATCTGTCAAGCCAACTGTGTTTTTGTAGACTATCAGTCTTTGTGTATTTAAGGTTTTGTGTATATGTGGTGTCAGGACTCGAACCCAGGACCACTCAAACTATGCAAGGCAAATGCTATACCACTGAACCATTTCCCTAGCCTGACAGTCTGGCTTTAATCTGAAATTGCTTTTTAATGTATATTTTTTAGCTGTGTGATTTTATGATAATTGTCTTGTTTTCAGTTAATTCGAAAACTCATTGAGTTCTTTAAATTTAATTTTACAGTTCTTAAAATTTCTTAGTTTGTTATTAATTTATCTGTAGCACTGTCCTCCCGTTGTTCATCGATTTGCTCAAGCGGGCACCAGTAACATCTCCACTGTGAGACTTGTTACTGTTTTTGGCTATCGAATACTCCACGGGGAGTTTGCCAGGCTCTGCTGTGCAGGCGGGATACTCTCCATAGCTTGCCGGGCTCTCTGAGAGGGACAGAGGAATTGAACCCAGGTTGGCCACATGCAAGGCAAATGCCCTACCCGCTGTGCTATCACTCCAGCTAGTTCTGTTTTTTTTTTTTTTTCATTTTTTTTCTCACTTTCCTTTCTAGAACTGTATCCATTAAACCATCTCACAAAGTGAGGTTTTTTGTGCTTCATTGACTTTCTTGCCAGCATTTCATGTAGTCTTTTGTTTTGACTCTTTTGATTGTTTGTTTGTTTGTTTGTTTGTGGTGTGAGGGAGACTACATGCAGTGCTGACGATGGAGCCTGGGGCCCTGGGCATGACAAATGTGTGTTCCAGCCCTTTAAGCTATCTCTTCCAGGATATATAGTCTTTGCGGGAGCAAGGGAACCAAACCCAGTGACGCTCAAGGGTACTCTTTGCACTGAGGGATCACTCCTGGCGGGGCCTGGGGTACCTTATGGGGTGCCAGGGATCAAACCCAGCTTGACGACCACGTGCACTACCTTCTGTACTATCACTCCAGCCCCACCTCAGCCATTTTTAAGTGTGTAGTTCAGTGGTACCTAGTGCATTCTCAGTGTTGAGTTGTTAGATTGTTTTTGACTCTGGTCTTTTCCCTTGAAATTTTGCTTCAGATTCTTATCAAGCACAGGCCCCTTTTTGCTTCTGCCAGGAGCATTGCAAAATAAGAGCCACCTTATTGTAGACTCCCACGTGACAGGCTTTTTAATTTTCTGATTCACTTTATCAATATGAGTTGCAGACTTGTATGGAGGTCAATTTGTGGTTATAGTTCTTTGTGTAAAGAACTACATTAAGGAACTGAACCAACTGCAAATCAGGCAGTTTTTTCTTGCAGGCCTGGAGAATGGGGTATTCCTCCTACTTTTTTTGACTCTGAAGTCATGGTCCTAGAGGTCTGCAGTTTCAGAAATAGTTAGACTCCCATCTCAGCCATCTATAAGCATGGTCTCCTTAAAGACCATGAATGTCAAAACATGTTTTCTATATTCAGTACATTGCTCAGTGGTGATTAGGTCATGATAGCCTGTCCCCCACACAATTTCTGTGATAGTCTCTGGGTTTCTGTTTTAATTCTGAGCTTTTTTTTTTCTTTTCTGGGTCACACCCAGCAATGCTCAAGGGTTACTCCTGGCTCTGCACTCAGGAATTTCTGCTGGTGGTGCTTAGGGGACCATATGGGATGCTGGGAATCGAACCCGGGTCTGCTGTGTGCAAGGCAAACTCCCTACCTGCTGTGCTATCGCTCCAGCCCCAATTCTGAGCTTTTTAACAGCAGTTCCCAGTGTTCACATCCGTT